GAGGAAAGTGGCGTCAAACCCGACACGATCACACTTCTTATCTGCATCCGTCTGTTATCGCTTTAGACGAGACGTGCTCACGGCAACACTCGCGCACCTGCGACGGTCAGACCATATTGAGCGCTTCATCCTCGTCAGGCGGAGGAGAGGACAGATCAAGTTCTCCGGGCATTAAACTTTCATATCTGTTCACCGCATCTCAAATGATGCCCGACAACAGAAATATCTCACTCGGCCTCGTCTAAATATGCATCATTAAAAATCTGATGAAAAGGCCGCCAGCTCGTCTATTCCACACCTATCATATTTGGTAATGGAAATGAATTATTTATGTCGCCATTAGATGCCATGGAGATACATGACCCCTGGATAACATTGGGAAAACAAAACACTTCCACACGCTGTAGCTACATGGGAAATGAGAAAGAAGGGGAAAGTGAACGTGGAGTAGTTCTAAGAGGATAGCTGGAGGGGGATAGGTTGCAGGGAGGTTAGTTTGGGGGTTTTTTTGGATTTCTTTCTGCTTGGCAGGTCTGATTCTGCCCCACCAGGACCTGTCAAGAGCCCTCATAAATTCATCAAAGATGAAAACCTACTTTCCATTTGAATGGAGTGACCCAGGATACTAAAAACAGCTCTCCAAATAACAAAAGCGTTAATGATCCATATGACAAGCATCTGGACCTAACAAAACCTGTCAAATGGATGAATATCAATCAAAAGATGAGGGAGATATGGTAGTTTCACACATACTGATGAATGAACAAAATAAAAGCAATAGTTATGCCAATGTGGGGTAGGGGGGGGGTTGGTGATCAGATGAGATGAAATAAGATGATGTGGCAAATTTATTCATCCCATAGCTGGGAAATTCTTTTGTTATGGCAGTTTAAGTGATCAATTATAACTGGATTGTGATGGGGTTGCTCCTTGTTAGTCCACAGAAATCCACTATGAAGCTGTCTTTAGTGGATTACTAATTGTAGCTAATTGAGGATATTAAATATGTTTTTTCTTGTCTGCTGTATGGACAAAAACAAGCTGCATTAAAAAAGGATTATATCATCACCTTTGCCAAAACTCACACCAGCCATGGTGCATATTTGAGTGTTAATGAATAATACATTAATGTACAATGCTGAAGAAACTGGGGCTCAATAAAAACATAAAAAGAAGCTACAGATGAATAGAGTGCAGCACCACAAAAGCTTCCAAGAGCCTAGTGATGATAGTCGCTGATGCAGGAAAATAGCTTTCGGTTGAATAAGCTGTTTGATTAATTTGGTCGGGGG